GAGACAAAAGACAACACTGTCCACAGGGGGAGTGTGAGAAGCAAAAGAGGTTCAGGATAGCCACTCCCTAGAATCTCCCAGGGTATATCCACTAGTTGCAGCAGTATAGATTTAATCTGACAAGATTCTGTCTATAAGGTGTAAGCTAATAAAGGAACTGGACTGGACTGATTTCATCATTGTTCTTGGGCTGGGCCTGACACTACCCCACCTATTTTAAATAATGTTCCTGAACTTATTCATATGAAAACTGGCAGTCTTGCTCCCCTGCAAAGTTAATATCAAGGCTTAAGCATTAAAAAGACTGGATTTTCTTCTCTTCCCAAGGACCTATACTTCTTCAAATTTGTTTAATTTTATCAAAAAAAAAAAAAAAAAAGCTGAAAGGCATTCTTTATTTCCAATTACAGACAACAGAAGGCACACAGATTTTTGATATAGATTTGTTCCCCAAATAAAGCTAAGGCAAACTGTGTGGCCAATCAAAATGAGCCCAAGGCAAATAATATGGGGTTTTTTTTGAATTACAGTCTAAACAAATTTTTATAATTGGTGCACATCCGTGGGAAAATGCAGTTCCACAATTGTAATAACAGTTATAACAAAACTTTACAGAGATGGAAAAAATGGAGGTTGAGCTGTCTTTTCTAGCCATCCTAGGACTAAACAAATGTCTCCAACTGAAGGTGACAAAATATAAGGATAAAATCACAGACAATGAAACAATAATTACCACCTTAAGTGCTTTAAAATTTCAGTGCTTTAGAGAGCAAGAGTTTCATCACTGTACTCAAACTGAAGCAGAAGAAATCCAAGTAGAGTAGGAATACTGGGAGCACGAAACGTTATGAGAAAAGTTGGTAAAAGGCAATTTAAGGAGGATCAATAGAGGGTCACCATTACCTTTCAACAGCAGCTAGTGAAGAAGCAAGCCAATAATGGAGATGTAACTACAGATACACAAACTATGGAAATTAGCTAGACGAAAGAACAGAATATAAAATAAGCTTTCTAAATTTTTAAAGATATTTTATGGCAGCACTACTAGTTGAACTAACATGCTTGCACTCTAATTAACTTTCAGAGGTTAAGAAAGATTTATGGTTTACATACAACTACCTGAAGCAAAACCCAATTCTGGAAACATTTGCTGGTTGCCGGAAAGTAGCAGATTTAGTCAGTTACAATGAAGACAAATCTTCAAGTTTTTTGCTGCAATATAACACCTAACAAATTATGACATAAACATTAGTCTCTGAAAGATTATGCCATAATAAATTTGTTAATCTTTAGCAATAAGACATTGCTGCTTCAACTGACCATTAAAATATGAAATATTTTTCTTCCTTTCCCCCTTTCATGTCTCATGCCTTTATTTTCAGACAAATACAGATATACATGAGTATATTAAATCTACTGCCAATATAAAGGAGTAGAGGTTTGGAAATTTCTCAAGGTATATCACAACAAAATGTATAGCCTAATTTGCGTAACAAGACTTGCAAGCCACTGTTACTTTTCCATAACAGGCTTGAATATTTCAGAGCTGAAAGGTAAGCAAGCATAAGACCAAGCTGGGTGCCTCTTCAGAAGACAGTGAATTTAGATATCTTGAATAATAAACACACTGAACCAAATCTAAAAACAGCCTGTAATCAAAAGTAAGACCTTAATGACATTACAAACCATCCCAGAAATATCATGTCAATTGTTCCACTATTATATTCTTTTTTACTATCATATAGTCATCTTGTTGTTTTTAACAGCTCATATAAAACAGAGAAAAATTCTGAAGGATAAATCTATATTTAAAAAGTGACTGATCATCTGCCATCAAATTGGTGTCAACTCTTAGTGACCACATAGATTTCCTCCATGACAATTTGTCCCCAACCTAGTCTTTCAGGACTTCCAGAAAATATAACTGAGTCCATCCACCTTGCTGCTGGTTGTCGTCTTCTTCTTCTCTTTACTTTATGTTTCCCAGCAGTATAGGCTTCTCCAGAGACCTAGGTCTTTGCATCATGTGTCCCAGATATGTGCCTTCAGTGAGAGCTCTGGGCTGATTTGTTTGATGATCCATTTCTTTGTTTTCTTAGCTATCCACAGTATTCTCAAGAGTCTTCTCCAACACCAGAGTTCAAATCTATATTCTTTCTATCCTGCTTCTTCAAAGTATAACTTCCACTTCCATAGTGTCCCAAGGAAAACCACTGTCTGCATGATTCTGATCTTTGGGCTAAACACACATCCCGGCATATGAATGTCATTCAGAGGTCTTCAACGGCTACTCTATAGGTGTTAGTCTGCAGTGTATTTCTTAATTGCTGGTTCCTCTACTGTTGATAGTCAATCTTAAAAGGCAGAAGCTACCCACCACTTCAATATCTTCATTGTCAAATACTAATAATACTTGTCCTAAAACGTTATTTTGAATGCAAAATGTCATTCTAGATATAAATATTGAACATTGGTGATTAATATATTTCTATTTCTTCTTATGATAGATCAAACTTCTCTTTTCTCATGGGATTATTTTTCATTATAATTCCGTTTGTCTTAGTGTTATGTCCTTTCATTTTGCTAGCTAGCTTTAGCCAGCTAGCTAAATAAATAAATAAATTTATTTATTTTTATTTTTATATTTATTATATTTAAAATATTTATATTTTACTATTTATTTTATATTTACTTTATCATAAGCTTTAGCTAGCTAGCTAAGTAAATAAATAAATATTCAGGTTATTTAGAGAGGTTTTTTTAGATACAGAGTAACTGACAACATCCAAGCCATAGTAATAAATTTTACTACTTGTGTTCATAGAATTGGAAGGGACCATTTAGATGATTGAGTCTAATCTCCCCTATCACTGCAATAATCTAAATTAAACCCTCTGCTTTAAAAGATTTAATGAAGAGGTTTCTGCTTATGTGTAATTTCACAGTCAAAGTGCTTATGCCGTTATTCCCTAACATTAACTGCAATCTGCCTTCCTGCAATTTAAGTTTATCATTCTGTGTCCTACTCTCTGGAATGACAGAGCACACACCTTTTGTGTGACTTTTAAAAAATGTTACTGCATTCACCCTCCCCCTTATCTCTTCTCAAGACTAAACACAGCCACTTTCTTCAATCTCTCTAGTTTGCTTACTATGCTCATCACCCTGTTTCTAGTTTCTCTGAATCTTTCTTAAATTTTATGCCCAAAACTGGACATAGTACTCAAGATGGATATACAGAATATAATGGAATTATTCCCATGATTTGAAAACTATACTTTTGTTGACGCAGCCTAAAACTAACTTCCTTTTAATTCATTTTCAGCTTGTGATAAACTACAATTCCAAGATTCTTTCCATACATGCTGTATCCAATCCAGGTACCTTCCATCTTAAACTGTGCATTTAACTTTTCTTCTAAGTGAAGGACTTTCCATTTTTTTTCTATTAAACTGCCTTCTATTCTTTTTAGTCACTTCTCTGACCTATTAAGGTCATTTTGAATTTTATTTATAATATAAATAAATTCTATAGCACTATAGCACCATATGTTAAAACATCTAGACACCGGAACAGTTTTTTTTCCTTGTGCCATTGCTCTGCTGAACACCTAATTAATGCAGTATGATATACGGCTGACATTGCATGAAGATATGACTGCTAAGATGTGACTGATAATGCTCTGTAAATATGAATATATGTTAGCTAATAGCTTCTCCTTTTAAAAAAATGAATATATGTTAGTTAATAGCTGCAGTACTATCTTTCCTCTAATTCTCCTCTTCTGACTGCATATCTTTTAGTATAATGTTGTTGTTGTTGTTGTTATTATTTTATTTTTCTTCTTATTCTTGATGCTATGCAAACACACTGAGAGCTCTTTGCACCGAAGTCAAATTAAAAAATGAATATATGTTAGTTAATAGCTGCAGTACTATCTTTCCTCTAATTCTCCTCTTCTGACTGCATATCTTTTAGTATAATGTTGTTGTTGTTGTTGTTATTATTTTATTTTTCTTCTTATTCTTGATGCTATGCAAACACACTGAGAGCTCTTTGCACCGAAGTCAAATTCCTTGTATGTTTACATACTTGGCCAATAAAGTGTTCTGTTCTGTTCTGTTCTATTCTATTCTTGCCTTCTACGGTATTTACTATATTTACTAGCCTAGCCAGTTTTGCATCACCTGCAAATCTTTCCTCCAGCTCTTCATCTGTGTCATCAATAAAATGTTGAGGTGTCCTGGGCTCAGGTCCAAACCCTGGGGCACCTCACCTAATATCTCACTATTCAAGCACCTATGAATCCATCTAACAGGCATGTCATCCAAGCTATACATAACCAGCTTGCTTGCTCAGCAAAATGTCATGGGACACTTTGTCAAATACTTTGCTGAAGGCAAGGTATATTATCTCCAGAGCATCCCACAATCTACTAAGGAAGTTAATAAAAAAAGGAAGCAAGTTTAGTCTGATTCTTTACATGCAAACATAAGCGCAGCTCTAATTGGAAAGATCAGTTCTATCCATTGTTTATAAAAGATGGCTGGAAAACCAAATATGAAATTAATTTTTCCATAAAATTATATTAGTGCCTGACGATTAGCAACAGAAAATTTCAAGGAATATTATTAGTATGTGATGAAAGAGACAAGCTTCTCTAAATCATTTTATAATTAATCTAGATTTTCACATTTTACTGCCAGACAGATTTGAGATGCACTGGAGACTTACAGTCATTCCTATCATTAATTATACATGGAAACAACACTATTTTTATTATTTGGAAAAATCTGTCAAGTTTGGAAAAATAAGAACCTGAAAAACATTAGTCCTAAATTTATTTTGCACCTC